CAGTATCGATACCCTTTGCCTAGAACTTACTCATTTCAACCCAAAATTTACCAAAACTCTGTTTAATTTCCCACTTTACTCTCATTTTAGGCCTTTAAACTCGACTACTCTTATAAAAACCAACTTATATTACTTAAACACACTTAAACATCCAAGATCCCACATGATCACTTGAAACCAAAAGTTATACCAATTTATTAACATGTCCCAAATTCTTTTCCAATAGCTTAAACTTCTTATTCTAACTGGTGACAAGTCAAATTTAACTTCCAAATTCAATTACTAATCATTTTTTATCAAGTCGCTCAAAAACCCTTTTTATAAATTCATCTTTAATTCACTCATCTCATAGTTTTAATCAATCTTAAGCTTTCCTTAAGCTTATATAACACCCAAAGACCAAGAACTAACTTAAAAATGAAAGGAGTAATGAACTTGAGACAAACTCACCTTAGGTATGAACTCACGGTAGAGAGGAGGAAGAAAAGATGAAGATGAAAGAATTCTAGATTTCCCTTTTTTCTTCTTCTCCACGTGTTTATAATAAACCACTAATGAATTTTTAATTATTTTTTGTTTAATGACCATTATACCCTTTCATCTTTCAATTCTTGTTAATCAACATACACCAATAATTTCCAATTAAATCCCTAAACTTTTTAATTTATCTAAATTGATCATGAAGTTTTAAAATCTTACACTTTGGTCACTAGCCTAATATTTAGGATGTTACAGAGGCTCTCGATCAGAACTCGCAACCTAAAATATTTTTGGTTTCCAAATCCCTCGTTTACTTCTGGTGATCATATGATGAACATTAAGATTTGTATCATTAGAAAGATGTACATTATCCATTGAAGCAGCTAGCTCAAGCATGATCTCATATGAACAAGACTCTCTGTCAACTCTAGGCAAAACCATCTCATTCTCTTTTGATACAGTAGGGATTATGTTCAATGCAATCACATCACTTTCAAAACCATGTTTCTCCTCTTGCATGAAAACTTCATTTACATCATTAGTCAACCCATTAATACCAGTAGTAGTCAACCCTTGATCAGTTTTAACATTAGGGTTAGATAAAACTATATGTTCATTAGTATTACAAGCACCTTGAATTGAAGTTAAATGCTTAGCATTAGCACCTCCGTTAACTGTAGCCCGATCTTGTGAAACAACAATCACAGGCAAAACTCCATTGGAAACTTTATGAGCATCATCATGCTTCTCAACAACCTTGCAAACACTATATGAAAAAACCGTCTCATCAAAAATTACATGACGATATACAAATATTCGACCATTCTCATCCAAACATTTATAACCCTTATGAGATGAACTGTATCCAAGAACCACACATTGCTGAGAATGAAACTTCAACTTGTGCCTATTAAAAAGCCTAAGAAACGGAAAACAAGCACAACCAAACACCCTCAAAGCAGAATAATTAGATGATGTTCGATAAAGTATCTCAAAAGGAGACTTACCAGCTATAACATTAGTCGGTAATTGATTTATCAAATAAACAGCTGCTTTAAAAGCATGGCTCCAAAATTCCAGAGGTAAATTTACTTGAGCCAATAAAGTCAGTCTCATTTCAACCACATGCCTGTGTTTCCGCTCAGCCTTTCCATTATGTTCTGGAAGTGATGTGATTGCATTGAATAGAGTGCCTACTGTATTAAAAGAGAATGAGGTGATTTTGCCTAGAGTTGACAGAGTCTTGTTCACGTGAGGTCATGCCTGAGCTAGATGCTTCAATGGATAATGTATATGTTTCTAATTATACAAATCTTAATGTTTATCTTATGATTATTAGAAGTAAATGAGGGATTTGGAAACCAAAAATATTCCAGGTTATGAGCTCTGATACCATGTTAAGATATTCAAACAATTATTATGTAAACGCTCATAACAAAGAAAAGAAGAGAATAAAATCTTAGAATCATTTTATTATAAGGAAATTGACTCTCTTAAAGTCATACAAAGGGTGCTTATATACAAGGCTGAACAAACAACTCTAACCGTCTTTTTTACCAACTTTGTAAGCAACCCTATAACAAACTCTTAACAGATTCTTAACAAAATTCATGCACAACATTCTTAAACATTCACCCTACTTGACAACTCATAATAAACACATCAAAGACCTTCATTCTTCAACATTCACCCTACTTAATAACTTGTCAAATCCTTCATCATTCGTCAACTTCTTCAACAAAGACCTTCATTCTTCAACAAATTTTACTGTCTGCCACCTTTCTATGTACCCAACAATGCGTTCGTCTTCCTTGATGGATACTGATGTGTGTATACCCTCACCAATAGTCTTCGAGTGTTCAGTGATTTCACCATTTTCATTACATAGAATCTCGACTTCCTGGTCATGTATGATTATTCCTTGGTTTTCCTTGTTCTGGACATTTCCGGTCGTGATTGGTGCGTCAATTAGATTGTCCTCACTTTCCTCTATTCTTATTACAACTTTTCCTTTTTGTGTCTGTGCAATTTTGTTTGGGATGGTAGTTGAGGAATTCTTCATGTTCTTGTTATTCTCGATGTACGTCCTACTTTCTTTGTCTGCTTTCCTGGTATTATAAACTTGATTTTCTTCATTGCCTGTTTTTACGTTCTTAGCTGGTGTATTTTCATGGATATGATCTTTTAGTAGGATCTCCCTTGAGTCTTCCAAATCTTGGAGTACTGAAAATCTTGAGCTATATATATCGCTCCTCCTTGTTTCGGTTGTTGTGCGCTTTTCTAATTGAGTTTTTGTTCACCTAATTCTTGGAGCCATGACCATTCGGGGACCAAACTGATTATCATCCTTAGTGTTCTCTAATGATATGTTGTTTGCACTAGTTGTTTCATTGTTCTTTGATTGCTCTAGGGTATTCTCTTTATTGGTATCACATGACTCTTTCGTATGGCCATATACTCCATAGCTGAATCAAATCTGATGTAAACCTTCATATTCAAGTTTTTGGGTAAAGTCTCGATGCAAAGAAGAAGTGGTTTGTTAAGGTCAACTACCACTAGAAGTCTAAATCAACCTTGATGACTCTTTCTATGGTATTCGCAATCGTTCGAATAATGTCTTATTATAATATTTATAGGGAAGCCTTGTAAGCCACACCCATACTATTACTTAGAAAGGGTGTTTTTCCCACATGGAGAAACCTCGACTCCATAGTTGGACAGTGAGATAATTGCCATAGATCGTCCAGGGTCCCTCCGTAAGAACTTTGGTGTAATCTTCTCTTTTTTCAAATTTGACTAGGAAGTATTCATTGTCTAAGTCGATTAGGTTGAAGTTACCCAGGGGCGCCACAGTGCTTGAAATCCTATTTTCTTTCCAAGTAGATGAACAATTATCGTTTGGCTCATGTTGCACTCTATTTGTTCATGAACTCGTTCGAAAAATTGTATCTTCGGATATGAACCGGATTCATCAATAGTTACATCTCCTTCCTCAAGGATAATGTCAGTGTCTCTTATCAGTGGGTTTAGGGTATTGTTTTTACTAGTTCCATTGGTAACCATCGCTTCATACGATAATCTTTCCGCAGGGTTTACATCGACGCTAATATATATAGTTTTGTTATGCCCTTCCTCGGTGTCTTGCATGTTTGAGTCGTTTATTGGTTCCTTGGTGTTCGTCGATTCTTTGTAGCGCTCTTTAACTTTCTTTGTTTCTCTTTGGTCATCCTGGTTAGTTATCGAACTTAGTCCCTCAAGGGTGGAGATAAACGACAAATATCTTTCAGATTCCGATAACTTTCTAGGGTTTTGGCTTCCTTCTTTCATCGTATGTTTTTTTTCATTATAATTTTTTTTCTTATATAGTCCTTATATGATCGTTAGTAGTTAGTTTCGTGTATATGACTATAGAAAATGTCCTCATTATATGTTTAATTTACACCTATAATTGTAAATTGTTATTATAATTTAAATTTTTTCTATTTTAATAAAACTAACAACTTTTATTTGATTCAAGAAAAATATAAGTGTAATTTTTTTAAAAAATAACCAATACAAAATTATATAAACAATTTAAATAATAATTAAAAATTTATTATTAAAACATTCTCATAATTTTAATAACAATCTTTTAAATTAATGAAATATTAAACAAAAATAACCTATACATATACGAAAAATTCTCTTATATTTACCTCTATAGAGACTTCTCTTCTTGTTGCTCCTGCGTCTTTTAACATCATCATCATCACCATCACCGAAATGCTCAAGATCCCATCATTGGAAATGATCAGATCAACGGTCAAAATGCTGCCACAGCACTTGGTGTTGGCGTCGGTGTTTTCCCACTTCTTACAGCATCTCCATGTTTAGCTCCACAAAATATGGAAGATTCTGATTTACTGAATAACAATGGTCGTAACAAACTCGGTGGGATGCAGTTATGGCAGAATCAAAGCTCCCCTCATAATCTTTAAAAAAACCCCATCATCAGTTCTTGATAACACCATTTCTTCTTCCATGAATTTGATACGAACAAGTGGTGGCGGAGGTTCAAGTTCAAGCTCTCAGGGACAACGTGTCAAGATTGTGGGAACCAAGCCAAGAAAGACTCTACACAGAGGAGGTGTAGACCATTCTGTAGAAGTCGAGGCTTTGATTCCCCTACTCACGTGAAGAGCACGTGGGTACCTGCTGAGAACGCCAGCTGGTGCAGCCGCCGTTACTATTGGCGGTGCTGTCTCATCAGTTGATATGTTTGTGTCGCTCAGCCTTGGCGGCTGGAATAAGAAAATTAATTCAAGTTTTATTAAAATATCTAATTATAGAAATAATGTTACGGATTTCTGAACTAATCCCAATGTCATTCGATCTAAAACTGAATTTTAAGAGGAAGAAAAAACCATTTACGAAGCAAAGCCACCGCCAAGCAATAACCAGAATGGAATAGTATAAGATGTGTGCGCTCCAATTCCCGGTTCAAATGCAATCCGATATCGGGTCCGCTTTTCATATGGCCTTCTCGAGGTTCGGTTCTCTCAGTCCATTACGTAGGTCTGCCCTCTCTCTCCCACCTGTCCTTTCTTATTCCGCCGCCTCGTTCGCCCCGCTTTCAAGAGCTTTCTCTGCCACCGCTAGCGTTCGCGACAAGCCTTCCATTTGTACCGCCGACGAGCTCCACTATGTCTCCGCTCCCAATTCTGATTGGCGCCTTGCCCTCTGGCGCTATCATCCTCCTCCTCAGGTTTTTGGACTTATTTGATTTGATTTCAAAATTTTTATCGATTTTTTTGTTTGCTTTTGTTTAACTTAATCAATGGATGAAATGAAGTGATTATAAACAACACTTCTTTGTAGCAGGCTCCCCCGAGAAATCATCCCTTGTTATTGTTATCTGGAGTGGGGACTAACGCCATCGGATACGATCTTTCTCCTGAGGTAAATTATGTGTTTTTGTTTTGAAATTGTTGAATATGAATCTTATGGTTGGAATTACTGATAGCGTTGACATTATCTAGTTATGTTATCTAAAACCAGATTCTGATGAGCCCAAGAAGACGATTTAGATTATGATATTGTAGATTATCAGCTGCCAATATTGTAACTACATAGTATACCAAAACTTCTGTTCACCCCCTTTCAAAAAAAAAACACTTCTGTTCACCCTGGAGATAGCTACCAGGGATATTTCATAATTCCCAAGTCCAAGTTTGATCCAAGACCCTTGGTCAACACCATGAGCCATGCTTTTATGAAAAGCTGATAAATGATGGTTCAATCCATTAGGATCCTTTATGCCACCAACAGTTACGACTTGTTGACTTCTGTTAGAAAATATTTCATTTTATGTTGTCTTGGTTAGTCAACTAACTATATACTTATTGAAGAAATTGCATGAAAAAACTTCCTATTGTCATGACTATCTCACAGTTAAGAATGCCATTTATTTTACCATTTTCTGCATGCTTACATGAATACCTACACTCGTGGTGAAACAAACATTTTACCATTGTCCTGATAAATGCAATATGCATTGCAGTCTTCATTTGCGAGATACATGTCTGGCCAAGGATTTGAGACATGGATTCTTGAAGTTCGTGGTACAGGACTCAGTGTGCAGGGATCAAATTTCAAAGAAATCAAGGAAAATGCTGATGCAGTATCTGAGCTGATGGAAGCTGTTGCTAAGGGTGGAGTTTCCCCTATGCAGCAGCCAAATAATGTTTCTGGTTCATTTTCAGATTCAGATTTTGAGCTTTCTTTTCTTGGAGTAGATTCAATAGGGATCGCAACAGCATGGGATGAATCAAAATTAGTTTCGAAGTTGACAGAAATTTTGATGCGTTTGTCTGAGAGACTTTCTGGCTTTCTCAGTGATGGCCAATCAAGGCTCATCTCTGCTAAATTTTTTGATCAAACATCAAAACTTTTGGAAGGTTCTCAGTTGTCTGAACGCTTTGAGGAGGTGAGGGTGAAACTTTCCAACTCATTGGAAAAACAGCAAAACTCTGGTATTGCTAGCCAAATTAGAGATCTGAGTGAAAGGCTGGTAAATATTATTGAAGAAGGCCAACGATCTGTTTCAACTCAGTTTTTCGATATGCAAGAGCGGCTTTCATCAACAATAGAAGGTTTTCAGAAACAACTTGACTTGATTGTGAAGTATGATTGGGATTTTGATCACTATCTGGAGGAGGATGTTCCTGCTGCGGTGAGGTGACATTTTGCCATGAATCATTTTTGGGTAAAGTTCACAAATAGTCCCCCGACTATAAGGCGATGCTTTGTTGAGTCCCATATTATTAAAAGTTACAAAATGCTCACCTAACAATAAACATATTCCAAACTCTTCATTTTTCGTTAAAAAGTTGATAGTCGTCTGAGATGGACGTTAAGTGACTAGGATATGATAAAATCTGATCCCAAAACTGTTTTAGTTGCAATTTGTGGATCGAGTATTCATTTACATTATGTCGTCGAGTCAATGCTTGATCCCAAAGCTGTTTTAGTTGTAATTTGTGGATCGAGTATTCGTTTATATTATGTCGTCGAGTCAATGCTTGAAATATTAGGTCATTGAGCCAATGCTTGAAAGTAACGACGGTGCCTGTAGACATCATTAAAATATAGTTATAGTTTTATCATATCCCAATCAGTAGCGTCCAGCTCAGACGGTCGTCAAATTTTTAACGGAAAAAGACAAGTTTGTAGCATATGAATAGTCAAGTGACTATTTTGTAACTTTTAATAGTTGAGAGACTTAAGAAAGCAACGCCGTATAGTCTGGGGACCATTTGTGTACTTCAGCTATCAATTTTATTTTACTTTCTGAATTAGAATGTTATGGATCTAAAATTGTTATTTTGCATTTACATACTATTATGTCTACTGTCTATAGATTGAATTGACAATTTTCATTCATATAGATGGAATACATAAGAGCACAGACAAAGCCGAAGGATGGAAAACTACTTGCAGTTGGTCATTCAATGGGAGGCATATTGCTTTATGCTATGCTGTCACGGTGTGGTAAGATACCATCATTTGCAATTTATGCGACACTCCAATGATTTTCACCCGTCTATTCTAATGCAAGATTCATCCCTTAATTTATGTCACATTGTGTATACCCTTGTCTTATTCTAAGCTTTAAACTAACAATTCATCAACCCATAACCATAAAACTGCCTTAGGTAAACAATAATCAGTGCAGGAAACAAAATATATATTATCAATCACATTTTGAGCGTGACTTCAATTTTGTTTTGTTACTGCTGCTTTAAACTGTCCCTTTTTCAGTTTGTTGTCTTCTCATTTTCCAGCTATAAGTTTTCACTTAGTTAACTCTATAATACACTTTCTATATGTTTTAATTCCAATTTGTAATTGATTGGTTTGTTGTACACTATGTAATAACTAATGTGCTTCTTTTCATAGTTATCTTTTCTGTTGATAAAAGTTGTCACTGGTTATGTATTATACATCTTGTAAGGTTTTGAAAGAAGGGAACCTGAGCTTAAGGCTATTGTTACATTGGCATCATCACTTGATTACAAATGTTCAAATTCCGCACTCAAATTGCTCGTACCGCTTGTAAGTCAGTAAACCGATTTTGATTGCTATGTATGATAACAACCTGTTTAAAAGTTTGATAGAAATAGGTTTGTCGAGAAAGTAACATCATGGAACTTGGTATGCAGGCAGATCCTGCACAAGCTCTTAATTTACCTGTTGTTCCATTAGGAACCCTTTTGGCAGCTGCATATCCTCTATCATTTCGGCCTCCATGCGTCTTAGGTTGGCTAAATAATCTAATATCAGCAGAGGACATGATGCATCCTGAGTTGCTAAAAAAACTCATCTTAAACAGCTTCTGTAAGTACGGGTATATTTTTCTTCATACATCATGTGAAATATTACATCTGTTCTTATCAGAATTTAAAGCTCTCCCCTTTCTATGTAAACGAACATCTGTTGTTAATGAGTGTAATGGACACACAAAGTCAATAGACAGAAAACTGGGTTTCCAAATTTATAGTTCTCTGAAAGTGATCTCTATTGCTCTATTTTGGATGGTGACTGGCATAATGTCTTTCATGATTTCTAGGTACTATACCAGCTAAACTTCTTCTACAGCTCACGTCAGCTTTTCGAGAATGGGGGCTGTCTGATAGGACTGGTAAATTTTTCTTCAAGGATCATATACATAAAACCAATGTACCCGTCCTGGCTATTGCAGGAGATCGAGATCTAATCTGTCCACCAGAAGCTGTAGAAGGTAAGTTTAATGCACATAATCCAGCTCATCCTCTGGCTTTCGTACATGTTAATATGTTTTTATTCCTTGTCTTTTAAATCAGAAACTTGAAGCTTCTTCCTCATAATTTGGTTTCCTACAAAATATTCGGTGAACGTATGGGTCCACATTATGCTCATTATGATCTGGTGGGAGGACGAATGGTAAGCATTTCTAACAGAAAAAAGTATTGACTAACTGGCCATTTGATCGATATTTGACTGCTGTTTCAAAATTTGTTCAAACTGCAGGCAGTGGAGCAAGTTTACCCGTGTATAGTCCAGTTTCTCAGTCGATACGACGGTTGAACATAATGAAAGCTGCGCCGAGAAACATCACTGCAAAATATTTGGTGGAAGCAGCAGATGTTCATTTCCCGGGCAACGTTGGGTACCATTTGCTGGTAATCGTGGCAGTATGGAATATGCATTTATTTTGGCATGCAATGTAATGTAGTTCTGTCACAATCCTTTTGTAGGAGAATTTCATCGCATTGCATAGCATAGCTTAGAATTCTCCATTTTTTTTTCTGGGTTAAGGATTATCTAGTTTGCAGGTATGACTGACGCCTGCTATTTGAGAAAGGTCTTAATAGTGTTTTGTAGTGGCTCTGTTTTGCATGCCATGCCGGCTTTGTTGTTTGTGATTGAGTTATGCCGTTGATATTAGCTGGAATAGTGCCTGCCTTGTTGTATCCTACAGCTAGACTTTGTTAGAATTTTGTCCCCTCAACATTTATAAAATTATGTTGGATTTTTTTATAATTGGATCAAATTTACATAATGTATAAATATTGAGGATTATATTTTTTTTTGTTTTAAATTGTTCATTTTTGAAATTAACATAAGTTAGCTCTCCTTTTTAGAAATTGACATGAGCTAAATAACTGATTTAAAAGAATCGATATATTTAGGCTTAATATAAAAATAAATACTCAAATTATACATTTTTTTATTTAGGTACTTAAATTATTTTTCGGTCAATCTAGGTGTCTAACGTTATAAACTTTATCATTTTAAGTGTCTTGGACATAATGGCTATTAAAACGTTCTGTTACATGACGTGTTACATTTATAAAATTTAAAAAAAATATTTAAAATAAAAAACTTAAATTATATATTTTTTAAAAACCTTAAAATTTTCTCAAATCTTAAAAAAATTCAAAACTTTGAAAACGCTAATTTTAATACCTATGCTCACGCTGGTCGTCTCGTTTGCCGATGTTGTCGTCGGCCTAATCTCCACTAGAACCTCCACTTGAATACAAACTAAACTCGATAACCCATAACCTAGAAACCTAACATCCCCGACGATGAAAAAACAACATAAACCCTTAAATGACGGACCCCAAAATTTCGACTCCCATGCGATTTGATGGCGTGTTTGATGACAATCGACAAGAGATATGTTAAGGGTGGCAAAGGCGACAACGACTGTGGCCGACAATGGAGAAGGTGAGGTTAGGGTCAAGGATTTTATAGTTGATTAGGGATTTGAGTTTTTGTTGTTGTTGTAATTTTAAAGAAATTGGGATTTTTAATATAATAATATTAAATTTTTTATAAGTATTTTTTTTTAAATTACTCGAATATGACACGTGTCACTTAACAAACTCTTTTAACAACTGTTACAGTTGAGACACTTAAAATGGTAATGTTTATAACAATAGACACTTGGATTGATCGAAAAATATTTTATACAGCTAAATAGAAAAAAGGTATAATTTAGACCCTTATTTTTATATTAAACCATGTATTTAATTTCAAAATTAAAAATCTTACATGTTTGTTTTTACCTATATTTTAAACAATATATGTGATTGTTATTTAACCTAATATCTTGGTTTTACATGTACGTTTTTGTTCATGTAGAAGCTAAACTGTATTTGTTTTAAATTTTGAGTAATAAATGTCATTAAACTGCAACATTCCCTTTATACAGAGAAAGTTTGGATTCAAATAATGTAGAATTTTTAAGTTTTACAATTTTTTATATTATTGAATTAACTAAATTTAATGGGTGGGATTAAAATTTCTAAATTAAAATAATTTATTTAAAAAAATATATGTATAACATTGAACATTAGGTCAAAATATGTACCAAATTAAACATTTTATTAAATATAGGTATCATATTAGCCATTTTATTAAATACATGTACCAAATAAGACATCATCCCAGAATTTTAAATAGCGTTCGCGGTCACGTTTTCGATCGCATCGCGTTTATCACGGTTGTGTACATAACAGATGTCATTGCGGGTATCACAGTCGTGAATTTTTTAATTGTAGCACAACTTACCCTAAAATAACTAAATTAAATATAATTAAAATAAAATTGTAAAATTTAAATTGTAAAATTTATATTACCGAAATTAAGACTAAATTAAATAAAAATTAAAGTTTACATTTTAAAGTAGGGATTACATTATAAATTCTAAAAGTGGGAGGGATGTCAAATTAATATATCATTTAAAATTATATTCTAAATGATATTAAAAATAAATAAAGCAACCCCTCCCCTCCCCCGATTTCATTGTCTGAAAAAAAAAAAATCATGCTTTCACTCTCAACTTCCCCCTCCCCTACTCCTCCCTCGACCTTTTATTTTTTGAAACAAAGAAAAAATTATGGTTGGAAATTGAAATCACGGTTGGAATAACGCTTATAACGTCCCATGATCGACGCAATCCACCATTACTCCTTAAATTGTGGGCGCGACATACAACTTTGGTGTGAATTCATTACCTACCGTAAAAATCATGAAAATCGGTTTCGGATGGCGGCGCTACCGCAATATCACGGCCGCTATCACGTTTTCGGTCCGCAATTTGAATCCCTGATCATTCCAAAAGAAAATTGTCATACAAATGCCTTAATTTGTTGGAAATGTAGCTTCTTTGGTCACTTGAACTGATCAATGAAAGTTTTTTTCTGATAATCCTTCTCCAAAACTGTTGCAGAACTATTGCCAATGTTGCATGTTCAAAGGAGGTTCAACTAAGGGGGGCTGGAGTGAATTGGCAAACTATTTTACTCTGCAGGTTAACCATGCATGGCCCATGGCAACTATCAGCTTCCCACCAAGGACACACAACCGGAACAATATGCGAATTGCCGACAAGTCTCGACAGCGCCTTCTCGATCTCTTTCCCTCGAGAATCTTGGTGGTCGGTCGAGCTCGTAAACTGTTGGGTTCACCCCCATTCCGCACAACAGCCTCTTGGCAGCATGGCACATGCAGCAACTGCTCACGCCGAATATCACCACCGCGGCCAGCTGCACCACCCTTGCGCGCGTAATTATATTTATATATATAGTTACATTATATATATAATTACTCTGTTTACATCTAAAGGGTCAGAAAATATCCTTCAATATATATATACATGCCGACAAGATTTGAAAAATACTTTAATTTGCATTACCGAACAAAAAAATGCGGATAAACTGCTACTGCACAACTAAAGAACGATCATTACAATGAGAAAATTTGATACAAATCATCCAAAACAAACTCCAAACTTCACAGCAACTTATAAACATACAAACATTTTACACTCAAATCCATACACTCGAGCTCGTTGTAATATTCCAAAGCATTTAGCAGATGTGAACAAACACTAGTAGTTCACAAAAATTGGTTCTACCTTGTTGATGACAAATTAAGGTTATAAACATGAATTAACCACACAAAAGCAGGCAACCTGATCTTCTTCATCTTCCTAATAGGGTCCCGATTATGATCTCCTAACCATGTCGTATGTCCCTCGAAAAGTTGTTCGAGCAACTCCTCGATATCTTCCGGTTGATGCTTTATGTATTTCCCTGATTGTTTACTGTTATCAAAACATGACTGGAATCTCCCCGCAAATGCCCTGTATGCCGGAATCATCACTGATGATATCGACACTCTAAGCTACAATTTAAGCTGTCCGTCGCTTACCACCCAAGTGCTCTGTGTCTTGAGGATTTCGTCGAACAAGATGTTGAAGTTCTTGAACCTTTCTTTTAGTATAGGCTTTGACACTTTCCCATTAATTTGCACACCCTCATGGCTTATGGTCTGCAACACATTGCCCATGTTTCTCTTTGGTACATTTTATGGTAGCGCCTTAACTCCGATGTTCGTTTCCGAGACCAAGCTTGACCGATCATTTTGTGAATTTTGGTCGACTCCTTGATCTTCTGCAAGATGTATCTCCCGTTGTTCATTAAGAAAACGTATCACAACGACGGGCTCTTATAGAGCGTCGATTTCATCTCAATGTTGGCATCTGATAGATCCATGACCTTCATTAACTTTAATGCAAAAGGGGATGCCGGAAGGCACCTATCATCCTTTTCTGTGTAGTTCTCCGGAACTTTCTCCACGGCCAATCTCTCCGTTTCAGTGTTCTTTTGGAATACTTCATCTAATATGTCCTTATATTTACAAGCATACTTTAGATAATTCATTGTATAGCGAGTCAAGGGGTGAACAGCACCTCCGGTGACTGCGATTCTGCCTGCATTGTCACTCTTGATTGAATTCTCAAGCTGAGAGAAAATGCTCACTGCGGTTTCACCGATCTTACGTTGCACCAGAGATGTCTCAGACACGAGTTCCTTGGCTGACAAGTAATTGCCAATATCCAGATTTTTCAAATCACTCAATGCCTCGTATATATCTAAGAATTTGAATAGTTTCTCCGTGGAGTATTGTCAAGGCAACACCATAGCATTTGGAAAATTAAGAAGCCCTGTGGTCAAGGATGTCACGAGTTCGCTGAGCAATCTCTGAGCGGTTAAAGGATGCTTGGAAAATACCAAATTGCAGAGCTTGCATTCGCCCGAAATGAGATTGTTGATGCAATGTTTCATAACATTAATCCAATTACAGATCTCGACTTCAAGTGATTCCCAACTCATCCTTTCGGCATCGTCGACATTGACAGTCTCAAATGATAGCTTGCTCAACTCGGCATCCAGTGCTTTTAGCCTAAGACCACTATAAGCAATGCAACACTCTGCCTCGTACCCTGCAAAGATCATTGTGTTAGCGATTTTGTTCATGATAGCTATAGATTCAGCCGAAAGATACGGAAACTCTTCCTCCATTTTCGAGTCCCCCGCAATCCGTACTTATATCGGTGGTCTGTCGAGAATCATTGAGAAGAGCACGGAACTCATTTTTGCGCATGGTGGTGAACGGAGCCTGCTCGGTTGAAGCAAGAAGTTGCACCGGAATCAGATGGGAATTCTTCAAGCTTATTTATGAGAGAGTCGATTTACGAATTCGAAAAACGAGGCCTCTTCCACCATGTTTAGGCCAAACCTTGCCGAGGCTCCCTAAGTTCATAGACTGCAATCTGGCAATCAACAAGCTCCAAGAATTGGTCGATGCAGGTAAATTCATTGTCACCGGAAGCTAACCTTTCGATGAATTGATCAAGTTTAAAACTAGGGTCCGAGGAAGACTCATCAGGTTTTTTCTTCTCGTCCACACCGTCTGAAACGCTTTCGGTTTCACCGTTGTGGTTGTCGTCCATGGTGAGATTCAATAGCCAAGCCGAACAAGGCGTAATTATTCCATTATTTCATGTGTGTTGGAGAAGATGGACATTAAGGATGGGATTATGAACAAAAATTGGAAGAGAAAAGTATAACGTAAAAAACGGGAATTGGTGTTCGAAGTTTGTTGTTATTGGAAATATGTTTGGGCCTTTAACCGTTGGTTTATGGGAGGTAGTAGTTGCCCGTTGACCTCAGAAGCTTTCATTTTTGCCGGTGGTTTGTTCAGGTTTTGAACCGCTACTACACAAGTATGTAAATTTTCTAGGGTAAACTACAATTTTAGTATATCAACTATTACTTTTATTTCATTTTGGTCATTAAACTATTTTTTTTTCAAAATCATACCTAACATTTAGTTTAAGTTTCATTTTGGTATCTCACCATTAAAAACATAAAGGTGATGTTGATGTGTCAATTGTTATCATAAGGTAATATCACGTCATCATTGAAAAAGAAATAGAAAAAGGTCATGTTAGTATTTCTGTTAATTTTTTAACGGCGGCACCAAATTGAATCTTAAACTAAATGGTAAATATCGTTTTAAAAAAAATAAAGTTTGAACACTAAAGCGAAAAAAGTAATAATTTAGGTACTAGTCGTATAATTTACCCTATTTTTTTTATCTATTTTATTTTTAAAATCATTAAATTTAAATTTTAAACTTTAGAGTTTAAAGTTTAAAGTTTATAATTAAAATAGATAAATTGTATAAACAAATTTATGTAAAGTTTTATAAATATTTTTACAGTTTAATATCCGATTATTTATTGGGAAAGTTATAAATATATTTTTATATAAAATATTTTTATTTATCTATTTCATTACTGCAAATATTTACCAATAAATCTTAACAATGTTATGAATGAAATTTGAAATTTATCCATTAAATGAAGGTGTGTTTATTATCCTTGTAAATAAGTTTATCTATAAACCATTTTAACTTTTTTAAATAAATTATTTAAAACTTATTTTTAATATAATATATAAATTATTAAAATCTCTCTCGATTCATAAATGGCTATTTTCCCGGTATATCACCGGTGATCGGTATTATTACCGATCTAACACCGGTCAGATTATATTTCTCGATCTAACACCTTAGCAGGAAAGCACGCCCCTTGCACCGCGCTATATGCTGATTTGGCGCCACGTGGATATAGCGCGTCCCCTGCCCCGCGATATACGGTGATCTGGCGCCACGTGGGTATAGCGCGCCCTCTGATCCGCGTTATACGCCACGTAGGGGTATAGCGCGGATCAGGGGCCGCGTTATACGCCGTACCAAAATTATATTTAACGCGGTCCCTGATTCGCGCTATATCTTTTATCTGAATAATTACATATAGCGCGGTGCAGGTACCGTGCCTTATATGCTTATAAATACACTCCTCCGGCTCACATCTCCTCGCATCTCTCCTCTCTTATAAATTAATACAACAATTCCGTCAACGAATAATAATTCTCGCAATCTTCTCAAATTTGATTTAGAAGTTCGTGCGATTTTTCGTTATAAGGTAATTTTATTATAATTTTTTAATTATACTTATTGTTTATTATCATTATTTGAAAAAATATTATACTAATTATTTTCAATTAATTTTTATGTTTGTAAAATTGAAAAGCAGGAGCATACGTCGAAATAGTTTTGCGGTGCAGGTAATAATATAAAATTATATTATTTAAATTATTTACGTTGATGTGTAAAAAATTTATTGTGTTATATTTTCATTCATATATAATTTATTTAATCAGGTTTGTTTAAGTTATTTTTTTTACAGATATAATATTGCGCACTTTTAAACTCAAAGAATGGCGCGACTTTCAACTATTGTTTATTATGATGGTGAAATTCGAGAAGATGAAACCGGCGTTGTTTTTGTATCAAATGAGCGTGTTAAAATATATTCAAGAGAAACATAACTCTTGAGGAGCTAATAACGAAGATTTCGAGGAAGATTCATGTTGGAAGTAACAGAAGAATGTCGTTGTTGCAGTACATATTTCCAACATCATTGTTGCCATTAACTTATACAGCGTTCGAACTTTCAAACAATGATGATGTTCAAATGATGGTTGAAGCTCAAAGTAATTATTCAGATGCCGCTATTGAGATGTATGCATATTTTGTTCAAGTGCGTGCTGTTCGTGGTTAATCTTTAAGCTCACACTATAGGCTGGCTGAATAAGTTGATAAAGTTGACAACCCGACTACAATAATGTGTAATGATTTTAATGCCATAATGGGGAGACATTCATCCGCAACTCCTTACGATATGTACCGAGGTGGGTCAACAAACAATCCGTATGGTAACACCGCGTCCAGTTCAAGGGGAAGGCATTCATCTGCAAATTTCTTTGACCATATGGAGATGCCATCGACGCAACCATCTGTGCAGTTTCCATTTGACACGATGGCTTCAAGCTCTAGGGGGAGGCATTCGACTGTGAGGTTTTTCGATCTCAATGTCGATATGCCTTCCAGTTCAAGGGGAAGGCGTGCAAGTAGTAGGTTCTTCGACCTAAATGTTGAGAGCATGGAGGAACCATCATCTCCACCAGAAGAACAGCTTCGTGAGCCTGGTGCGGATGGTGCTGAGACTGGACTATTCATTCACCCAGAATCACCACAATTCAACTCCGATGATGATGAAGTTCCAGGAAATGTGGCACAAACTGACCCTCCTGCACACATGTATGAAGCTGATTATGGTGCAATTTACGGGCCAGAATTTGCGGATATGCCTCA